CTCGAGTCAGGTGTGGGAACCTACTAGGATCGCACTCGAATGCTTTGGTTTTCCCGAGTTACTGATTGAAGCATGTATGGTGTTTCCCTCTAATAAGTTGTGGGTGCCTGCTGGGATTACATTTCAAATGCTTTGGGTCTTCCAGGAGACTTGGGTATAAAGTAGGTCGCTCTAGTTGGGACCATGGTTGATCACTCTAGCCGGGACAATGGTAGATCTCTTTGGCAGGGATCATGGTAGGTGGTTGATTTGGTTGAGACCATGATTGGTCGTTGTGGCCGGAACCAGGGTTGATCGTTCTAGTTAGGACTGTAGTTGGTAACGGTATCCCTCAAACTGTTTCATGCCTTGATAAGTATCTTGGTTGTTGGGGTATGGGCGACCCGACAAGCTTGGGGCTTGAGGCCATGGCCAAGCTGTTGAACTTAAAGCCTGAGGCTTTGGCGGGGCTGCTGACTTGAGGCTCAAGGCTAAGGTAATTTGGAGTTCTAGGCGATGACCGAGCTTTTTAACTTGGTTCCCGATGTTGTGGCCGGGCTGGTTTGGTGCTCAGGTCGATGACCTAGTTGTCTTGGGGCCCAATGCTATGGCAGCTGCTTTGCTGCTCGAATCAATGGTCGAGATGCTTAAATTTGTTAACTCCAGTGAATCAGCTAGGGCAATGGTCCCTTTCTTCGTTGCAATTCTCGAAGTAAAAGGCTGAGCTCCTTTGTTAAGCTAAATTATTTGTCTTGTTGTTTAAGGTGCCTAAGAGGGGCCGAACTTTCACTGTTATGAACCTGGCTCCTTGGGATTGGCTTGATGGCCGAGTAGATCGCGACTACATTGTCTTATGTTGCCGGACCATTGTAGTTAGAGGTGGCAAAGCAACCCCTCCCCGCCATCAACCCGCCTACAAACGAGCTAGCCCGCTCCTCTCGCTTTTAATAGTGTGGGATGAGAAAGCCATCCCGCCCCACCTTTTTTTTGGAAGTTTTCTTTCTTTCTTTTTTATTATTTAATTATAATTTTAACATTTTCTTAAGTTATGGTGTTGTTGCACTTTCTTTCATATATATTTTTTAAATTTTATTACACTAGTGCACTTTCCCATTTACTATTAATTTGATACTATAGCACTGTCATTTCACAACATTAATGGTCAATTTTTTATCATTAAGAAATTATTAAGAATAATTTTTTGCTTTACTACGCATTTTTCTTTATTTTAAAATTATATCTTATTCATATGTTAAACTCCAACAAAGAATAATTAAAATCAACTGTAGTAACAATAGCATTTTAGCTTTCTAAAAGTTAGAGAAATTTTTTTATTTTAGTTTAATTAAGTATGTTGGTAAGTAAACTTTTATAACAATTTTAGTTCATTGAAAACTAGAGTTTGGAAATAGTTGAAAAATATAATTTTTTATAATTAAATAGTAAAGTTAGGTTAGGTGTAAAGTAAAAAAAAAAAAAAAAGGTTGGCGGGCTAGTTCACCCGCTGGCTGAGCGAGGTTGGCAGGTTGACGAGTTGAAAAACTCAACGCACCGTGTCGAGCCCATTTTGTCACCTCTAATTGTAGTATACTATCTAGGCTCGAGGCGCATAGGTCAAGTAACTCCTATATGAGTTAATACTCACTTTCATTATGTTCTCCAAATTCATCTAATCTCGGATTGGGGTGCAATCCTTTCATTAGTATCACGATATATCCAAATCCATCTTCATATCAGATTCGAGTGCAGTCCTTCCATCATGATCACGATTTCTCTAAACCCATCATCACCACGGATTGGGGTGAAATTCTTTCATTAGGATCATGATCTCTCTAAATCTGTCTTCATATAGGATTGAGGTGCAATCCTTCCATCAAGATCACGATCTCTCTAGATCCGTCTTTCTCTCATTTAGTGGTGCAGTCCTTATCATCAGGATCATGATTCCTCTGAATCTGTCTTCTTTTTGGTTGGAACCTGAGGCTGTAACTGGGTTGATTTGGAGCTCATGGCCATGGTCGAACTATTGAAATCGGAGCCCGAGGCAATCGCCGAGCTACTTTGGGGCTCGGGTCGATGTCTGAGCTTCTGAACTTTGCGAGAGGGTGCCAGAACACCTTTTTGGGCATTCCACTGACTGCATTCTTCATGTAATTTTCAAGAGAAATTTCCTTTCCCTTCTACTTCTTTAAAATATGATTTGTAGTTTCCTACTCTTTGAATAAACTTGCATGGAGATGGAGCCCTTCCATTCTCTTGTCCTGCTAATCGCATCTTTCCTTATGCTTATTCTCATCCTAGGGAAGACATACTTTATAGGCATGAAATCATGCAGGTAGAAGAAGCATGATTTTAACTTTCACCACTAATCTATTAACTTGGATATCTCCTATATCTAGTAAACATGAGAAGTGTACTTTCTCAAAGTCTTTTTTGAGTGCTCCTGTTATAATTTCAAAAGGAGCTTTGAAAACAGTTTGAGTGACAAGTTTGTGTTGGCAAAGACTGCAACTTCACTGCAACCATTAAGCATTGTCTTTTCAGAATTTCAAAAATCGATGCAGAAGCCTTCATTTAGCGTTGCACTTCCGATTTCCTTCATTTTTTGATGGTCGCCTTCTTGTATTCCGCATCCATTGTATTAGTATTTGGTTGTGGCAGCGATTGCTGCGCGTTCACCATTATTGGGTGGGAATCGAAGCTCATCGTCCCCACAGATGCGCCAATATTGGATCCGAGAGAATTGGGATGTCCAATCGGTGGTTGGTAATTGTCTCTTTGATTTGTACTCTCGCGGGCGCCTATGGAAGAGACGCTCTCAAAGGGTAGCAAATTACTATACACAATAATAATGATGTATGGCGCAATGAGTGAGGTGTGTGTACAGTGACAACTAAGAGAATATAGAGTTCAGTGTGCTTGCTTGTAGGCTTTACCTCTTATTATAGAGTTTATCTTTGTGTAGTAAAATTTTGGACCTTTAGTGAATTTTGGAGGTCCAATGCTTCATCCGCCATTATCGCACTAGAATTAATATGTTTTAAGAATCTTTCATTCATTTTTCTCTTAGTTGTTTACCCTTTATTAAGCTTTCTAGAATATAGACTCTTATATCATGTCCATAACAATATTACAACTCTTTAATTATACAACTTAAATTGTGATATCACATATAATAAAAAATATAAATATATATATATATATATATATATATATATATATATATATTTTTTTAAACATTTGTGAATTTAACGTAACTCTTATTTGTAAAAGGGAATTGACAATTTGACGTTGTCTGAGTTTGTTGAGCAAACTTTTGGTATATTTGATGTACCAAAATTGGTATTCCTATTTACTAAATCAGATAAAAAAATTTCCGACTTAAACCCTTATCTTGCCCCCTTTTATATCCCTTCAAACTTTCCTCATTTAATAAAAAAATTTAGGAGTTTGACATATAAAAGCTGAGAATTTTTTAATATGCTCCAGGACCACCAGGTTCTTTCACTTAAAAATTGACATTTGGACAATCTTTTTTTTCTCTCTCTTCTCTCACCTCAATTTTTTCTTTCTATGTTCTCTCCCCACCAATTATTTTTTTCTCATATCGCTCTAAAAGCAGACATTAAGGGCCTGTTTGGTGTGACGTATAAGGCCTGATAGTATAAGCTTATATTATACGTTATGACATTTTCAGTTGTGACCATCGTATAGTATAAGCTTATACAACAAGATCCCTTGATACATCAAAACGATGTATAACTTAATCCGACCTAAGGGGAGAGATAAGGGGTGATAGTATAAGCTTATACTATACGTTATGACATTTTCAGTTGTTTTGTGACCATCGTATAGTATAAGCTTATACAGCAAGATCCCTTAATACATCAAAATGATGTATAACTTAATCCGACCTAAGGGGAAGGGATAAGGCCTGATAAGAGGTTGGTGTATTAACATCGTTGACCAGTGTAATTCTCAAAAATTAATATATTTTATAAAAATTAATATCATATAACATTTTTAAAAGAATTATATAAATTATTTATTAAAGGATTTTTTATTAAAATTATTTATTTTTATCCTATATAATATTATACAGTGCATCACCAAATACTAGATGATATTATCTTATACAATATATTATTTTATACAATACCGTAGCAAACGCTGGATAGTATTAAAATTCAATCAGGCCTTATACTATCAGGCCTTATCATATACTATGCACCAAACATGCCCTAAGGCTATGTTGCACCGACACTGACACGAGACACGACACAACATGATACTCCGACACGTTAATTCTAAAAAGTGTTAAATTTCGACACGTTAGGACATTTTGATATTGTATAATATTTTAATTTATGTAGTGTATATTATATTTAATATTTAATAATTTAACAAAAAAATAAAGTTAAACTTATAGGAGAATGATCCGTTTACAAATTTTGTTTACAAATTTTTGCAAATTACATTATGTACTTTCGGGAGAACATATTGTAACCTAGTGGTTTCCCGGGAGAACATAGTGTAGTTCGTAAGAGTTTGTAAACAAAAAGTTTGTAAATATTACCCTCCTCAAACTTATAATTCCCATTAATTTTGCAAAGAAACATAAAATGTCACAAATATTTATATTAAATTCAATAAAATAGTAATCGTAATCTGAATCTAATAGTTGAAACGCAAAATGTAACACAACGTAACCTTTGAACTTTTTTTCAGTCTTTACAACGAGTATTGAAGTGTTGGAGAGTTGGTGACGTCACCACAGGTATTTTGAAGTGTCGATGACCATCAAGGAAGATAGGTTTGTGACAATTGGCGCCTACCTGTTAGAGCGCGTGAGTTAGAACACTACCTGCTGAACTTTCCACGTCAGCCTTATATCATCATCGTCGTCGTCATTCGTTCTTCTTGCAGAGTTGGCTTATATAACTCTTTATCAAACACAATCATCTCCTCCATTCGAGCTCGTTAACCTGAAAACTAGTATTATCCACTCAACCAATTAATTTATGGATGCCCCGATTTCTCCCATCACCCACCTCTTACCTCAACCCGATCTTTATCTTCACACTTCCAGTGGGACACGCATTCCAGTCCACGCAAGCATTTTGGTATCTTTTTTTTTTTTTTTTTACTTCAATTCAAATCTTTATAATTTTTTTCTTATTTAACTTTGCATTTATTTATTCATTTTTTTCTCATTAATTTTGGTTCTGAAATTAATCCCTTAGGCTTCGGCGTCACCTGTTCTAGAGAACGTCATAATGTCCAACAGAATCGTTAAAATCAACGGCGTTCCACACGACGCCGTCACCGCATTCTTGAGCTTCCTCTACTCCTCCAGGTTAGTTGGTAGAAGTGTTCTGTTCCGGTTACGAAATGACGGTGGTGACCCTGAGGATTATTGATTGGGTGCGTCGCAGGTGCAGCGAGGAGGAGATGGACAATCACGGAATGCACCTTCTTGCACTATCGCACGTGTATTTGGTGCGGCAGCTGAAGCAGAGTTGCATCAAGGGGCTGGCACAACGCGTGACCACAGAGAACGTGGTGGACGTGTTGCAACTGGCGAGACTCTGCGATGCACCGGATCTCTACCTCAAGTGCGTCAAGCTTCTAATCAATAATTTCAAAACCGTGGAGCAAACAGAGGGTTGGAAATTCTTGCAGAAACATGACCCCTGGCTCGAGCTCGACGTTCTTCGCTTCATGGACGAACAAGAATCGGTAATCATTAATTAATTAATCATATATAGCATTATTTTTGGATTAATTAGAATTGTTAATCACGGTTTAATCAAATATTAATCAGAGGAAGAAGAAATCAAAGAGGCGAAGGGAGGAGCAGAGGTTGTATGTGCAGCTGAGCGAGGCCATGGATTGTTTGGAACACATATGCACGGAAGGGTGCACCCACGTGGGTCCATACGATGTTGAACTTAAGCAAGAGAAGAGACCCTGTTCCAAATTCTCCACGTGTCAAGGTCTGCAAGTGTTGATTCGACACGTGGCAACTTGTAAGAGCAGGCTCAACCGAGGTTGCTTGCGGTGTAAGCGCATGTGGCAACTCTTCAGACTCCACTCCTCCATTTGCCTTCACCAAGATTCCTGCAAGGTTCCTCTTTGCAGGTCAATATCCTCCTTGTTTCTTCACCACTTTATCACATTTTACACTTTTTTTTTAATTTTTTTTTTATACTAGTAAATTATTAGTTAAGAACATGTGTTGGTAAGTTGGTTCATCATCGAATTATAAATCGGTTATGCGTACGTTGTTAACCTATAACTATAATGGGTATGAGATGCGTAGAGACGTAGAGAGTCAGTTGTAGGTCAAACATAACTTCATATTTACATGTCATTTCATATTAGAATAAATATTATTGTTAAAAGGAAATTTTCATTAAGTAGGATATATGTAGCTATAGGTTTTCATAATATACATGTATCTATCTTTGGAAAATAAATTCCATGGTTCCTCTCTCTCTCTGTGTGGGAGCAATACTCTAGGACCGCTACATTTTTGCTCTTATCTTTAGCAACTAGTTTAATATTTTTTATGTTGTAAGAAATAATTTTATTTTTTATATACATATAAAAATAGAGGGATGTTATACTTATAACTTGTTTTTGTTTATAATATCTTACAATCATATCTTAATCGTTGATTTCTGTCAATCGACGGTTATCATTTATTGTAAATTAATAATAATTAATTAATAAATTTTATTTACGAAAAATCTTAATCGTTGATTGACGAAAATCAACGGTTAAGATATGAGGTGTAAGATGTTGTAAACGAAAATAGATTGTAAGAATAACCTTCCCCATAAAATTATGTATAGTTTGTATAAAACCATATGAGGAGAAGAAAAAAAGAGAAAATATGGGTCCAATCACTTTTATATGTATAGAAGATAATTTTTATCTCTTAGAAACATAAAACTTCAACTATATGGGAAAAGTGTGTATCATTTTAAAAGATATAAAATTGTGTTATTTTAAGTGAGAGAAAGGGATAGATAAAGGAGAAGAGAGAGTGGACAAAAAAATATAAAGGTGCGAGTCCTACCTCTTTGTGAGAGTGAAAGATATAAGTTGTGTCATTTAAAAGGATAAACACTTTTTTCTAATTATATATGTACAAAAACTTTGTTTTTTCTTTCTTTGCTTAAGGGTAGCAAACTGGCAGATGGTGTCTACCAGGACCAAGAGAGAGGAACTCGAGCTTAAGTTAAATAATTTTCTAATATATAAATAACTAAATAGGAGATGATGAATAAAAGTTGAGAATAGTACTTCAAATTGTTACTTGACACAGATATATTTAATATTATTCTCCATGACATATTGTATTGTTGTGTAGGGATATTGTTTCCTGCATTTAATTTTTCGTAATTGAGTAACAATCTTAGCTGTGCCTGAGTCACAGCTATAATAGGTCTTAATTTATAGTGTAGAGCTGATTTGGCTTTACGCTTTTATTGGATATTTGTTAGGTTATAACTAAAGTAGAAAGGTAGTGGTTAGCTAAGGTACATAATCGTTTTACATGTGATAAACCAAGTTGAACAAAAAAAAAAAAAAAAAAATTCATCGTTATTCATTTAAGGAAATTAATTTTCTCATTTAATATGAGAAACTTTTCTTATGCTATACACACAATACATGAGTGGGGTCCACAAAAATGTAAGAAGTTAAAAAAATAAAGATGGGACCCACTCATGTATTGTGAGTGTAGCATGAGAAAATTTTCTTATGTAAAATAAGAAAACTATTTCCCTTCATTTAATTAATTTATTTTGTGTCATGTTATATTATTATATAATGACCCTTATTTTTTCTTGCCATATTCGTCAGCGGTTTGCTTGTTTTATTCCCTAGCTCGTGCCTGATATTATTCAGGGGTAAATGTAGCTGGCGAGTCACATTATTTTTTTTTTTTTTTGATAACAACACATTTTTATACAGCTATTGTATTGTTTATCATCTTATATTCAAAACTACCATAACAGGTCAATTAGTTTCATTTCACAAACCAAATCAATGACGCCATAGAGCGCACAAGACCAACATGGTATATAGTAATTATACCAACATGCCAAACATATGTGCATTAGTTAAAAGTGACAATGACAGTGAGGGGTCCTCGATCGATCCCTCAAAAGCAACAACTAATATTATTATACCCGTGGTTGATGATATACAGCTTCTTTTGATTGTCATAAAAGAAAGCAAATGGTACAAACAAGTGTATTGGTTTTTATCAATCACATGTACAAGTGGGACAATTGGGGGATTTAACGAGCAAGATTACTATTTACATCAATATATCAAATTAATTAATAATCTCGTGCATATCTTTAAACATCATGTTTTGTTAGCTTCAATCTCCAAGTTGTCTAATTTAACATTTATTTTCTTGTGAACCTAATTAACTCTGTTGTCACTTTCTTAGTTTCATTTAATCTTACAGTGATCGCCATGTCTTACTTACTGTCCTGTATATATAGTATTAATTACTTAATTAGCGGTCTGGGTTAACCTTGCTGTTACGGGGGAATGTGACAGGCAAATTCAATTGAAAATGCAGCAAGAAAACAGGAAAGATGATGCAAAGTGGAAAGTACTAGTGAGGAAGGTGGCCACGGCCAAAGCCATGTCTTCCTTGGCAATGCCAATATGAGGAAGCGGGATTAGGAAATAAGAGGGACCATAAACATTCTGCACTACATAAAAATTCATTTCGTGTTCATAGGGCCATGCCTTTCTCTATATTCTTCTTTTCTTTAGAGAGAATATGTCTTATATTCATTGTTGAAGTTGTAGGGTTTTGTATAGTGTGGATCCTGTTGTGCCTGCCTCTTTCAAGCTTTAGAATTAGATATATAGGTTTCCTTGGTGGAAAATTGCAAAATAATCGAGAATGGCATGTTGAGGTGTTAGCTTGTGATTTGTAAATTTTGTTTGGTATATATGTTGGGTATGACTCATACTTCGCATGCTGATGATGGCCCTAGTTATCGGGGTCAGCAGAAAGGCAACTGGGATCCCATTCCCAAGTGAGCGGGCGGGGGTCCGGGGTAGCCGTCCTAGCGGGGATCTGGGGGGCAACGCCCCCAGGCCCGTAGAGGTTAAGTACTCTTGTGGGCCTTTGTTTTATTGTAATTTTCTTAGCAGTTTGGGCTTGGGCCCATGAATAGCTGCTGTTAGGATTTTCTAATCCTATTTATATTTTCTTTGTAAACCGAGTGAATTGTAACGAGTGGCGGTGATGTGAATATAGTACAGACAAGCTAGACGTAGCCTATATTGGGTGAACCAGGGTAAATCGCTGTGTCTATTCTCTCTCTCTCTCTTTTTCTTTTTCGTTTTCAATTTGTGTGATTGTCGATTTCCAACAGTTCGAGGAAAAATTATATTTATAAATTTTTTGTTTACAAATTCTCACAAATTACATTATATATTATCTGTAAGACATTCTTGAGTTTGTATCTCTTAGTAGTGAAATATATTGATACATAGATGTTTTTAGAGAGATTAATATGGATGAAAGTTTTGAAGGAGCTATTTGGTGTATCTAAAATGTGTGGTGAACACAATTTACAATGCAATAAATGTAAAATTCTCCTTCAATGGGTGAAAGAAATTTATATAGATAGAGAAATATTCCTTAATGATAACGATAGGAGAGAGAGTCATAATTATTTTTGATCAAAACCTCACTATTATGTATGAGATAACACACCCCTAGTGTGTGCTATGATGAGCTATATATATGGGATTGTTTGGTAGGAGTAATTTTTTTGGAATGATAGGAAAGTGAAAGTGAGATTTATATACACCCATGTTTGGTAGGAGTTTTCACAATATTTATCCGGTTATCCAATTTATCTTGGATTTCAGGTTATGTACAAATTATGATTGATTTTCCCTTCTCAAAATACCATCAAAAAGGTGTTATTTTTGGTTTACCGGATGTAGGGATTTGGACACCAAATTTTTTGGACAAATGTGCCCTTCTTCTTCATATCGTTGTCTTCGTTTCTTCCCTACAGAACCCATTTGGTTGTCTTCATTTCTTCTCCAAATAACCCATCTGCACGCAGGAGAGCATTAAACATAGATGGATGCAAAGGAGAGGGCATAAAAGAAATTGAATCCAGCCACCAAAAAATCCATAAAGAAAAGGAACAAGGAAAGAGAGTTGCGACTAGGAAAGGGGGGAGAGGGGATGACTCTGGTGTCTGCATTTTTTTTATTCTCAAAGAGATTACGATGATGACTGCCAAAAATTGAAGCTCAGACCATCATGTGTTTCTGTGAAAGCAAGAAATTCATTATTATTTTTAAAAATAAATAAAGTGAAGGTGGGGTTATTTTTGTAAATAACTCCACATTCCCACTAATATTTTATGATCAATCAAACAAAGACTCAGTAAACTTAATTAAAAAATCTTAGTAGTTGATTCCAAAAAAAAATAAAAAATCTTAGTAGTATTTTTGCATACCAAACAACTTTTTTATATCATTTCCGGATAATTCACTTTCCTATCATATTCATGGTAATTATGATTCCCAGATATCAAAAAATTTCTCTTCTACCAAACACGACATAAGAAAAAAACTATTTAGTACGAGAGTATAGGGGTCTCACTTTAGGGAAAAGTAGTGAAATAACCAATTTTTGTTTGGGAGTTTGGAGGAGAGGGGAAGAGAGGGGATCCAAGGGGGAGGGAGGGAAGGAAGGGAAGGAAATTGGAGGGTATTCCCTTCCCTTGTTTAGGAATTAAAAAAAATGGTAAGGAAAAAATTGGATGGTCAATAAGAATTTTTTACAATTTTACCCTTTTTCTAAAATTAATATAATTATTATATTTCACAAATAAAAAAAATTAAAATTGCTAATCAAAATTACTTATGTATTTTTCAGAATACAAAAAAAGATCATATTTTCAACAAAAATCCTACGTTGAAAACGACAAAAATTATGTCAAAAAAATATTTTTCCGTCGGAATACTTTTCGTCGAAGACGATGGAATTTTTATCCGATGAAATATTTTACAAAGATAAAATTTCAGTCAAAATTTTATACGAAATTTAGTTTTCGACTAAAGTTTTGACGAAAATGATTTGTTAAATATTTTCGATAAAAAAAATTCCATCAAAAGTTTTGATGGAAAATAGAATTCCTTTAGACATTTTGACGAAAACTTTTTCGTCCAAAATCTTCGATGAAAATGTGTCTTAATGAAAATTTCAACGGAAATATTTTTTCAAAAATTTTGAGGAAAATGTTTCTGTGAAACTTTAGACAGAATTTAGATTCTATAAAGAATTTTGACAGGATTTTTTTTTTTTTCAAAATTTTTTACAGAAATGTTTTTCGTCGAATTTTTTTACGGAAATAACTTTCGTTGAATTTTTTTAACGAAAATGTGTTCCTTTGAAAATTTCGATAGAAATGTTTTTTATCAAAAATATTTTTTTTCAAAAATTTTCGATAGAAATGTGTTTCGTCAAAAATTTTGACTAAATTTTTTTCGTCAAAAAGTATGACGAAAATATTTGCGTCGAAAATTTTGGACAAAATTTAGATTCTGTTAAGAATTTTGACGAATTTTTTTTCATCAAATTTTTTTACAGAAATATTTTCCGTTAAAACTTTTTGCGAAAATTTTTCAAAGGAAATGTGTTTCACTAAAAATTTTGACAGAATATTTTTTTTGTCAAAATTTTTTACAGAAATATTTTCTATCATAATTTTTTGAAAGAATTGTGTTCCGTTAAAAATTTTGATGGAAATATTTTTTTATCGAAAAATTTGACAGAAATATTTTTCGTCGAAAATTTTCTATGCAAATGTGTTTTGTTAAAAATTTTGACAGGATTTTTTTTCTCAAAATGTTTAACGAAAATATTTCCGTCAAAAACTTTCGACGGAATTTAAATTCTGTAAAGAATTTTGATGAAATTTTTTTCTGTCAAAAATCTTCGATGGAAATGTGTTTCATTGAAAATTTTGATGGAAATATTTTTCGTGAAAAATTTAGATGAATATGTGTTTTGTGAAAAATGTCGAGGGAAATGTTTTGACGAAATTTAGATTTCGTAAAGAATTCTGACAAAAAAAAAAAATTTCGTCAAAATTTTTTACAAAAATGTTTTTAGTCACAAATTTTGATGGAAATGTTTATCGTAAAATATTTTGACGTAATTATTTTACGTCGAAACTTTTCGATGGAAATGTGTTTCTTCAAAATTTTGGACGAAAATATTTTCGTGAAAAGATTTGACGGAATTTAGATTCTATCTATAATTTTGGTTGAATTTATTTTCTGTAAAAAGTTTATGTGAGTAATTATGGCAAAAAAATTTCTCGTCTCTAATTTCGTCTTTAGTTTTGAGGGAAGTTTTTTGACGTATAAGATTTTCATCAAAAATTTCATCACAATTTTTGACGAAATATTTTTCGTGGATAAATTCTGTCGGTATTTGAGATTTTTCTAATAATGTCACATTTAAAAATGATTCACATTATGTAGTTTTTACATTTTAATGCTAAGGGTAGATAAGTAATTTTTAATATTTTTTCCCTCAAACCCCCCAAATTGGGAGAACTTAAATTTTAAGAAGGAGGGTTTAGTAAAAATCCCCAATTCCTTCCCCTCATTTTTTTTAACTCACAGACAAGGGAATAGCTTCTTAAAATTCTCCCTTCCCCTCCAAAAACCATCTCCCAAACGGAGCCTTAAATGCCTTTAAGGGGGGGGGGGGGGGTGTTTGGTAGAGGAGAAAATTTTTCTTACTAGGAAAATACAATTAATAGGAATATAGTGGGAAAATAAATTTGGTAGAAAAATTAAAAAAAATTATTTGGTAGGCCAAAATATTACTGGAGAAATTGAGTTAAATTTTCTGAGTCTATATTTAATTGAAGGTAAAATATTGATGGAAAAATCGGTTGAAATGACGAAAATAACCCCTTTGTAATTTTTGAATCTGAAAGGACAAAAATTGGTATGCAATCATAAATCTGAATATTTTGAAGATCAGGACTTGTTAGACTATTATACTTTAGGGGGGCAAGACTTGATGATCAGCATTCATGGTCTCTAATCACACTCTTCGTTTTTTCTTTCCTTGCATTGGGTCTCTAATCACTTCGATGCCCCATTGGGTTCCTTTCTAGTGCTTCATGCTGTATCAAACGAGAGAGAACTAGTACATCCTGCTGGAAATTATCTTTGTTTGCAGACATATGGCTTGTGTAGCGGAAATAGGCTGAAGAGACTCCACTTCATTTCAACAACGAGGGTTATTTTTGTCTCCATAATTGTGCCCCTTCTTTCCTTTCTCAGCTAAACTCCAAATACCACTGTCTGTGTGTGGTTTTTTACAACAGTGTTTTTCATCAATTTTTACAAAAGAAACACAATGGCTGGGCAAACGATTTTGGTGGTAAAATTTATCAAACTCTTGTACCAAACATAAATAGAAATACTAGTGGAAGTTGGCTAGGTATCTAAAAGGAAAACCCCTACCAAACACCCCCTTAGAAGCCAATACATGAACTTGGAAAATAGTCCAGTACAGTTATCATTTTTGTGATAAACATTTTATGAATTGTGGCTCTACTTGCGTTAAAATCTACACTGCTATATTGTACAAAATGTTTAACGAATGATTTCTACGAAACACATGGCCCAACAACAATTGAGGGACAATCATTGTTTACTATTCAGGAATTGGCAAAAAAGTCAATTTTGCAAGACATCTTTGTACATGATAAGGACAATAACTTTATTATTTACCTATATTGCATCGAGTTTCTTAACCAGACGCGTTTTATAGACAAGAAGGATGCTGACGTGAAGTTAATTTTTGCAAGACACCTATTTTTGCAAGACACTTTTTTTTTTTGGAATCCAAAAAAAATATTTTGGACTGAATATTGCCAAACCGAACATATTTCCTAAAATACACCCACTTCTTCTTTTTCTACTTCTTTTATTGGGCATTAATTATTGTCTACTTATTGTCAGTTTGATATTTTTTCCCAGGAATCACATAATGCAATTAATTGAATATAAATTTATTAATGTAATCAATTAAATAAGAAATCAGGAGCAATTTTTTAAAAGAGAAATGATTAAATACTTGAGATTTAATTGTTGGATTTATTTAATAGAAATTTAATTGTCTTTATTTAGTGAATTAGTGACATAAAATTTGAAATGAGAATACTTTTTTGTTTAGAAAAAAACTTCAATTATATAGTGCACTGGATTTTGATATACGGCCCTTTTCATTTGATGAATGGTGGCTGTTATGTCACAGAGATAGAGATGTCTAATTCAATAGGTTAATGCGATATTTTTGAATTTAGGTGTTCTTTAAGGTATTTATGGGTTAGATGCCCTTAAATTTAGCAGATCACTATGCACTAAAAAGGAGTGGTGTGTGTGCACAGTGACAACATAACAATAATAGAGAGAGAATAATTATACATGTAGGTTTTACCTCTTATTTATAGCGTTTACCTATGCGTATTAGGATTCTGGACCTTTTGTCCGTCTTTTAACAACCCAAGCCCATGTTTTTTTTTTTTTGATAACAACCCAAGCCCATGTTTAACGCTGTCGTAATAGAATTAATATCTTTGAAAGATATCCTCTTTGATTATATCATATTTGTATTTGGATTGTCCCTTATTGGGCTTTATATTAAATGAGCCTCATATATGAGTCCATAATAGTGGCTATTCACACATTCAAAGGGTCAAGAGAAATACCAAATGATGGTAGTTCAATTGACGCCAGGAAAATGAGTAGATGGGGTAAGGTCAAGGACATGTGTTCGAATCTTTTCCAATATCATCTTTGTGTGGAGTTTAAAGCTTTAATCTCGAATCGGATTAGTCGCGAAATGAGGAACAAAAATTCAAAAAAAAATGTTAAGAGAAACAAGAAAAAAGAAATACAAAACAAAGCGTAACGATTTGCCATTTCAAAAACAAAACAAAAATTCTGGAAATAAAAATAGAAGGCAAATAAATTAGGGAAAAGTTTACCAATACTCTTGCGATTTGCTTCAGAATTATTTATGTTCCTGTGTTTTTTTAGAGTAAATACCATTTTCGGTTCTCAGCAAATTTCACGATTCCCGCTTTAGTCCCTTGCAAATAAAAAGGTTATTCGTGGTCCCTAAGAAATTTAAAATGGACTCATTTTTGTCCTTTTGAGGGACTAATGTGGGTCTTTTTTGAATTTGTGAGGAATCACGATTTCAACCAAATTGGTACATTTTGAATTTCTTAGGGACCACAGATAACCTTTTTATTTACTAGGGATTAAAGCGGGCATCGTGAAATTTGCTGAGGACCAAAAATGATATTTACTTTTTTTTATCACATACTCTGTGGTTTGTAAAATGTAAAAAATTACATAGACATATGTGATAAAATATATATAAAAACTAGTGTATTACCCGTGCGATGCACTGAGGAAAAAGATCAAAGTATTGTCGTCTGTCGTGGTTGGTTAATCGCACTGCAAACCTTATACTTACAAAAACCTGTGTTGCTATCTTGTTCTATATTTAAGGTGAAAAAACTACAGCATTGACACAGACTTTACAAATATCAACCATAAACAAAAATCTGCTATATAGAATGATCAATATTATGCAAATCAAATATAGTTATCTACTCGATGAGTTATGTAAAAAATAAATACTCTATAGTAAACTATGTTAAAATGAGGATGGCTAAAAAAAAATGCCTACAACTTATTGCTAACTATAACAGCCACTAATAAAATCAAGGTAACAAACAAACCAAACAAATATTTTATAAAAGATCAGCTTGTACCTATAATAGAAAACACTATTAATTCGGTGTCATTCTGTAGCAATCATTGGAGGGATGAGTTCAACACATACCAAACATGTGATTTCCTATGTTTATACATTATCAGGGACATACTATTTTACCATCATATTTATGCCTACGATACAAAGATACAAAATTCTAGATCTCGTATAATTATTTTTCATTTTTCATCTTATCATTATGAGCATTGGCAACTCCTATTTTTATAAGGATTCCATTCATATTAGCATTAAAATTTTTCCATTTTTATTCATTGAATATGCAACTCATTATTAACATAAGCAATTACAACAATTACACATAGTAAATGACTTATTCCTAATAGGTATATTAATTACTGTTATTTTCATTAATTGTTAAAAAACTCCTCGTAATATAATTACTTTGTGTTTTGAAAACGTCTACAGTTACCTTTGAAATTTTCCACGCAATCAGAATTAGAATAAGAATAAGAATTCCTTGAAATTTTCAACTCAGTCAAGTTTACAATAGAAATTCCAAACGATATCTCATACGATGTATTACTTAGATCGTATTTTTGGGTTGCATGTGTTTTATTTAATATGTATTAGGTTATTTGCACAGTTTGCACAATTTAAAAAGTTATTTTCCTTTATTATAAGATGTTTTTGAAATTTCAATAGTTTATTCACATTTAAAGCATATTAATTTTTTGAAAGTTTTACCGAAATAAGTTTTGGATATTATTTAATTTCGCTGGAGAAAAAAAAAGGACATATAAAGGATACATCATAAAAGTCATACATAAAGGAAAATCATTATTTTTTGGATATAAAAAGGATATTAGTAATTATGTGGGTGGAGAAAAAAAATAAAAATAAAATAAAAAATAAATAAGAAAAGGAAAGAATATATAATAATATATCTTTTTCGTTAGTATGAAGCCACAATTGTATGGTGCATATTCAAATAAAAGAAAAAAAAAAGAAAAAAAAAAGGGAAGCTGCAAAATTGGAAAATCAAAAAAGGGTAACTCATATCTTCTTCAGTCTTCACAGCTGTGCAATGCTCGTCTCTTTGTTGAGTTGCTCAGTTCTGCGCTGTTCCTTGTCTTCTTTTTATTGTGTGGTTGTGTTGTCCTCTACAATGTGCATCTCTTTCTTTGATGAAGAGAAAAGTCATATATTCAATTTCCTCGACTCACTTCCAAGAGAAAAAGACGAAAGTCAATCTGTTTATCGAGAAAAAAATGGATCAAACATTCCTATTTTGTGGATGGAACAATAAGAACAAAGAGATAAGAAGGAATACCTGATGAAAGATTTACCATTCAGGGACTTTTCTTCGAAAGGTTGAGTGTCATTGAAAGAGGTGACTTTGGAAGCATAAAGACCTTCACTGCTGCCGTGGAAGAAGAATGAATTAGCACTGTGAATAAAGATCTCTTTTTGGTAGTCGTGGATCGAAACAATTGAAATGATGCAAGCATAAATAAATTGAACCCTTCACAATAAAGCAACACAATCTTCCAAGATGCTAGTCGCTAGCCACCTACAACCAATCTATAACGTGAACCATTAAAGGTAGCTCTTTTAGGACTAAAAAACAACGGGTCAATGAAAATGGATGAAAAAAAGAAGCAAGGAAAGCAAGCCATGCAAAGAAAAATTAAAAATGAGATAGATGCACTAAATAATGAAGAAGAGGGACCTTGGTTCTCAAAGGGTGTTGCTGGAGCTGTTTCAAGTAATTTTTTAGTCCAATCCCTTCTTTGCTAAAGACCCCAACTTGCTTCCTCTTTGGCTGGAAAGAGGTAACCGGCTCCGTGACTAATGTTCAAGAAAATGAGAAATAGAATGAGAGTGGATGTAGGGAAAGGAAAGGATGGGGTTTGGGTGAAGAATCAGAGGCGCTGAGAAAAATAAAGATGCCATTTTAGAATTTGGTATTTAAAAGAGTAATGGAGAGAGAGGAGGAACTGAAAAATTTTATTTTAGCTAGTATAATTTCAAATATCATTAATAGATTTTTCATCTTCCAATGCAATTTTTAAAAACCTTTCATCTCCCAATACAACAATTAATGATGGTGGGTCATTAATGATCCATTTCGATTTTCGTTTTTCGTAAAATGTCATTATGACAAATTTTTCTTTTAAATGTTAAAGCAAGTGTGAACGCACAGTGTGAACACACAAATGAACACAAATTAGAGCTTGACACGTCAACTTTTTGGAGGGTTTCTAGTGTGAACACACAGTGTGAATACAAATGGGGTTTGCTTTGGTTTTCCTTTATATATATAATAATAATAGATAATAGATATGCCTTTTCATAAACCACACAAACATACTTGATAAAAAAAATCTATGAAACACCGACACTTCAAAAATCCTGACGTGTCGTGTCCGACACTTCTCGACACTCACCGACACTCCGACATTTCCCGACACTCCAATACTCGTTGCAAAGACTCAAAAAAGGGTTCAAAGGTTACGTTGCATTGCATTTTGAGTTCCAACTATTAGATTCGTTAGATTACGATTATGATTTCATTGAGTTTAATATAAACATTTGGAATATCTTATGTTTCTTTGCAAAATTGATGAGTATTATAAGTTTAGCTTTATTTTTTTGTTAAATTATTGAATACTAAATATAATATACACTACATAAATTAAAAATATTATATAATATCAAAACTTTTTAAAATTAACGTATCGAAGTGTCGTGTCATGTCATGTCGTATTCTGTGTCCCATGTCGGTTTCGGTCCAATATAAAAAAAATCACATAGCCATAAATAATTGGAGAATAAACCAGAACGTTCATTGACTAAATTTTCCCAATAAATTATGGATGGCCTCAATCAATGTGATGTACCCAACCAATTTTAAATGCTTAATTGACTTTTGATTCAGTCTCTAATCTCTACAACTTGTGCTTCACGCTTCAGCCATTAGCTTGTATCATTATCAATATTAATTAATAGCATTTCTCTTACTGTGAAGTAATAATTCGGTTTTGTTCTCTGCATCTACGGAACACCTCAATCTGTTACACAGGACAGGAGTAGTGAAATACAATGGCTACGATTGCAGGCGATGGCGGGCACCACAACCCGGCTCTTGACCCGGATTCGGATACTCCGGAAAACCTGGATCACGAGTTGGCTGAGTTCGGAGCGGGTTGCTTCTGGGGTGCGGAGCTGGCCTTTCAGCGAGTTGAGGGAGTGGTGAAGACTGAAGTTGGATATTCCCAGGGTCACACACCGGATCCCAACTACAGACTGGTCTGCACCGGATCCACCAACCACGTCGAAGTGGTCCGGGTCCACTTCGACCCGAAAGTCTGCCCCTACCCGAATCTCCTTGCTCTCTTTTGGTCACGACATGACCCCACTACCCTCAATCGCCAGGTACATTGAAATTTGTCCGTTTCTCCGTTTCACTCTCACGCACCTTTGGGGTTTTTTTACGTTATTACTTAGTATTAATTTTTTTTATATGGTAGGAGATACGTTTATCTCCCACTTAGTATAAAAATATGTATGGGTCTACAAAAAAAAAGAAAAAAGAAATAAAAAAGAGATAAAATTATCTATGAGAAACACTAATCCCTAATACTTATTACTTTCTATTTCATATGCTTTGTTATCTACTTTTTTATTTTTTTATTTACATTGGTTCAAGGTAGTGAAGTTGCTTCAAACGATTGATTCCACAGTGTATTCCATGCCATCATGATTTTATAAAATAATGAATTTGTACACACACACACACAAAAAAAATTATTATAATATTACATTACAAATGTAAAGTTGCATCCAATAGTATAAAAACCTGTTTATATTTTTTTTAATATCAATAAGGTTTACCAAAATTTTGGTGAATTGAATGAGCCCATTATATGACTCTGAGTCTGAAACATGCATCCTCACAATCAATTTTTAATTTTATAGTCACAAGCTTAAAACAGTGGTAAAGCTTTTTCCTTTATGATTGAAAAATTATGGATTCGAATCCAGAAAATAACCTTTACATTTATGCAACCCTAACTGATCAGGGTTTAATGAGGAGTTGTTTTATGTTTGAGGAGGTTGTATTCTTCCTAAAAACATGTTAAGTCCTTGGTTTATTTAATTATTTATTTATGTGTATGTATCTCAGGGAGGAGATGTGGGTTCACAGTATAGATCAGGAATATACTACTACAATGAAACTCAGGCTCGTTTAGCTCAAGAATCTAAAGAAGCTAAACAGTTGGAATTGAAGGACAAGATTGTGACAGAAATACTTGCAGCAAAGAGGTTTTACAGAGCAGAGGAATACCATCAGCAATATCTGGAGAAGGGTGGAGGTCAAGGCCTCAAACAGTCTTCAGAAAAGGGCTGCACTGATCCCATTAGGTGCTATGGTTGATGACTTACTTCGCACTTCACACTAAGTCTAGCTTCTATCTGCCATCTATTTAGAATGCTAGTATTATCCAAAAATAAAATTTTATGGTTTATGTATAAAAGTGATCAGATCAGATACTTTCTCTGCAATCTCAACTCTTAATTGAATGTTTTAGTTCCTGTTTGAACAATTGCTGTTTAAATAATTGCTGTATGTTGTCTCTTTGCATGAAACTCTTGGCCATAGAGTAATTGCAGGGAGGTTACATTAGACATTGCAAGCTGTCAAATTCAAAGATTTATTTCTTTATGATGAAAGCATAAATATCTAGATGGATACATTGGCATCGAATCTGAGATACAAATATTATCAGTGCATGTGATTATGAGGCAATTCCTAACACACTAGTAAACGACAACCAAGACTGATTAAAGCTTAGTTTTGTGGGAAGCATTCAAAGTTCATCTTTAGGAGATGATGAACGTCCTGTTGGATTATTGGAGGAGTTCTTGATTGGGTAGGAAGCCTCCATTGCTATGCCACAGAGTCCTTTCTTGTCAGATATGTTCCTTTGCATTCTGATGTAACCCTGTTCTCCCCATTCTGGTCCCCAAGAGTTCTTCACTATCCAGTAGTTAGTTCCATCAACAGTTGTTCCATATCCCACAACTGCTACACCATGATCTAGCTCCGTGCCACAAGTGCCAGTAAATACTCCCTGTAATCATTAGCTATACAAAATCAAGATACCCATTTGTTTCAATCTACCTATTGCTCAATTTTGTCCAGGGAACTGGGAAACCAATGCTTAGCTTCTAGCAGATTTTGAAAACAATTTACAGTGAATAGGTGAAGTAGATGTTTACCTCTGAGTAGAACTGGAAATCAGATCCCCCTGCATCTATGGCTACGGATACAGGTTGGTTAGAAACAGCTTTGAGCAATGCATCTTCATCGTTGGCAGGGACAGTCTCGTGGCCATCAATTAACACAGCTGGATCATTTGCCTGCAATATGAATGATTTTTGCACCTTTAACTCCCTCTAGTTATCAGTTAATTATTCTGGCTTTATAAAAGCTTAGCATAGTATGCACCTTTGATGCATCACAGGATCCATCTGATGCTGTATAAGGGTAACTGCTTTCTGTTGTTATGCCTCCATTTTGCTTGATGAACTCAAAAGCATATTCCATTAGCCCACCATTGCACCCTGCATTTTCATCATTGTCACAATCCACCAGCTCTTGTTCAGACAAGGAGACTAGCTTATTTCCCTTGATTTGGTTAATGCCTTCAACAGCAACAACAGTTGAAAACGCCCAGCAACTACCTATAAGAGACATTAGCAACAAGATGATTTTCATTTCATTGATGCTTGAAGACAAACAACAATGTAATTAGAAGCTATATGTGCACCCTAGTCCCATTTTATATTTATAAGAGGGCGATGTGACTGAAATATTTGAATCTAAGAATCAGTCTCTTTGCAAATATGTAAAGGTAAGGTTGCGTAAAAATTGCCTTCACTACTACCCTTGCTAGTCGATTTAATGGAGTGGTTGTTTACGCAAAAGCAAAAATAAACAATTGATAAATAGATGAATAGGACCTAGGTTGAGCTCTATGATTAGCTACTAGTATCTATTTAGCTTACCACAATGGCCTTGATCCTTGACAGGAGTAACAGCGCCTTTCTTCCTCCAATCCACAGAAGGAGGAACTCTGTGAACCTTCTCATACATGAAGGTTCCATTCCCACGTGGCGTGCCTTTGAACATTCTATGGTGATTAACCTTTGAGCCAGCATAGGCACTCCTGAATTCATGGTTGGTCATGTCAGCGAACTTGTTTAGTTTCAGCTTATACGGCTTATCCATTTTGTTAGTATCATGGACATGCATCACATTAGCTTTGAACACGTTAAACCGCTTGTGCTTGTCATCGAGGCTTCGAGAAACCGTGTGGTGACTCCTCCATCTCTCGTATAAGTCCCACAAGCTTTCCTCAGATGCCAAATCCACCTCGTTGAAATCAAAGCTCTTGGCCACTTGGAGAACCAAAGCAAGGGATAGAGCAACAACCCACAAGAGCTTTTTTATTTCCATGTTTCTTGTTGGAATCAGTTCAATGAAAGATGGTGAAAATATAGGGGTTAGGGAATGCTTTATATAGTGATGTGAAAACCAATTAATGAGAAGAAAACAAAAGAAAAATAAATGAGTAAGTTACAGGTTCCTTATGGGCATCAACAATGAGCAATAATGAAAGACGCCAAGCTGTGTCACTTAGAGAATAATGGAGAAGATAGGATTTGTTTTGTTGCTCAAGTATAGAAGCAAAGGCTTCAATAAATGAAAGGAAGGAAACTTGAGAGATTTTCTTTTGTTATTTTTTTTTTTTTAAAAAAAAGATTGTAGTTAGGTGCCAAATCTGAAGCTGTGTCATTTTTGTTTTTGTGTCATACTTTCTGTTATTGTATGCTTCAAGGATCATCTTTCTTTTGCATGCTGATCACGCTATAACATTAACGAGGAAGATGGTGGAGAGTGAAAAGCATGGTTACGTCTGGTTTTGAGCCACCATGTGCTGCTAGTGAAGTGAAACGTTCTGATAATGTTTTTATTTGTAACTGACGTTATCGCTTTTTGAAAGGTTTGGAAAAGAAGTGAGAAAAGCGAGCCAAAAGGTAAGAGTAGTGAGGTACTTCGCACAAAAAGTTCACACAAATCTAGTTCGGAATAGTGAAACTCTTCTAAAGTTCTAATTAAGTATTCTCATGCGTTTGTGGTAGTAAGAAAACGTAAAAAGTGATAACGAAAAACTGATAAAAACTTACTGAACATTTAATTTGCCTTGAGCTTAACATATACGACACATTTACAAGCTTAGAGGTGATTTTTTTAAAGATAAAACTTGTTATAAATCTACAACTATGATCAGATGTTGGTAAGAAAATTTGGTAGAGGCCTATAATTTGCTATATATTGGTTATTTCGATTTGGCAAAGTTTCCATTTGGCAAAAGCAATATGAGAGAATATTTTAGTACTTTTCAGTAGTTATTATTTGACTCTAGTGACGCTCTTGCTTGTTGTATGGGATTACAATAGCGTAATGCATCAGGCACCACCCATCACTTCTGCAGTTGAAAAACCCATTGCCTTTCTGCTAAAGTAATAGCTCATGCGGTCAATTCTGTTATCTTTTTCATTAAACGGTGACACCTATTATATGCCTTCCATGAAAGATGATTCATTTCTTCTTCTTCTTCTTTTTCAAATTCATTTTTTTGGTTGTCGCTTGAAAGAGCTTTCAAGGCCTCTTCTATTTTTCACTGTCAACTAGTTATTCAGTAGAAGAACTTCACATGGCTCGTGGGTGTAAGTAAATAAACAAATGTACAACACCTAAAATTATGGATATATTGTTACATTATGTTTTAGTCATGATAGGTTATACATATCACATGGTCATTGCCAATAATAGCCATCATTTGGACCAACTTAACCCCTTCGTCCAACTCTCTACACCAACTTGAACTTCCCTTTTCCAGTAATCCATGTTCATTGATCCCAAAAAGAAAGATTCGCTAATGTTAGTTTGCACAGAAACCTTTACATAAGAACCAAGAGAGAAAAAGAAAGGAAAATGTGAATACTTATACTGAGAAAAATAATCCATGTTCATCTGTTATTGCATTTTCATGAGTCACTCCGTGGATTGATCAAGGACTAGGACATTTTGGTGAGTACTAGTTTACATATTCCCCATACCCACTTTGGCAATATTTAGTTCCCTAAGGATAAAACAAAAAAGATTTAACAATGAAATTATATATGTGAATAGATACTTGCAAACAGCATTTGTGATGTGTGCAGAAGAAAAAGTTAAAAGTAAAGCAAAGAAGTTATCCAATAGCATTAGAGGAGTTAAAATAAAATATAACCCAATCTATTAATCATCTGCCATTTTTACATTAATTACATCCTAGCAGAGACCTGATTCAACAAATTTTGCCAGTTCAAATTAGTAGAAAATGAGCTTCATCACAATTGATTTTAGAGAGTAACTCACGATTTTCTGTTAAAAATGAATATCTACAATGTTCCTAATTTGAATGGTATACCCTGTAAGAAAGTGTAATCATTTTTTTTTTTTATAAATCAGAAAGTGTAAGGGAGCATTACCATATTCCCTCCGTGCCAGCTAGGGTCAACGTCAACATCAACAACATCTTTATCCCAAATGAAATAAACCCCATTAGGTCCAGATACAAACAACCCCATTCTTGTCAGCTGAAGCTAGGGGTCTTCCAAGCCCACTCCACGTACAGCACAGGATAGAAGAAGTATGTTCCTTCAGAGTGCTGACAATATCACCTTTAGATATTGACCATACATACACAGATCCATCAGAAGATCCAGCAGCAACGTGACTATCATCTGGACTAATACAGGAACGACTCCAATTCGAAGCCACTCTATTTCCTGTGGCTCTTAGTGTGCCACTAATTTCCAGAGATCGAACATCAAACAAATTGTGTAAATTGTCCCTTCCACTGGTCAACACAACATTTCCATTTCGAGAAAGAGATATAGATGTCACAGCAAGCGAGTGTGCCACGACCTCGCTAAGTTGCTTTCCGGTCTGAATATCCCATAATCGAAGACTTCCATCAACATGTCCCGAAAATATTGTCTGTCCATCCATGCTGAAGCAAAGAGCATTGCAGTTGCTGTGAAAAATGATTGTGTTAATGCAATAGCCTTTCATCAAGTCCCAAACTTTTATAGTACGATCGTAAGCTGCACTGACAACATGACGGCCTGATATCTTGCTGACATCAACAGCACATACTTTATCTGTGTGGCCAGTAAGGGTATGACGAACTCGACCTGAGTTGAGATCCCACATATATAAGTTGTTTGAGCTGCTTGCAGCAATAACAGATCGATTATCATGGGTTATTGTGAGATCTAATATGGAGCCAAGGCAGCCATAAAGATTGGTACTTAAGGACCCAGTATTCGTATCCCACACTCTAACTGATCGATCCTGTCCCCCAGTAACCAATTTACTAGAATTGTACTCAAACAATATGGAAGCACAACCACCTTCATGTGCATTGAGCCTGTATTTGCAAGTGGAAGGGATGGTTGACTCGAAAAAGAAGTCAGCGCCTTCTTCGCTTTGGCGAACTATGCCATCCACCTGCTGCCTTGCTAGTTTTTCTAAACCACTGGCCTTTAGCCGCTCAATCATGTCATCATACAGTTGATTTGCCTAAATTGATAGGAAATATATTAGTTGAACTAGCAGCGAAATGAAACATTTAGAAATCTAGCAGCTACTAGAATTAGTAGTATCATAGTTTTGTAAACTACTGTTGTAACTATCACACAATTATTCCACTCTATTATCACACACAGTTCAAATTTCAAGCTATCAAAAAATAAGTTCAAAACTAGATGCAATACTGGTATAATATAGTGTAGTCGGGTAACTGACATTTACCAAAAAAAGAGAGCAAAATCAATAGCAGATTAGCAGCAGCTGAATAAATTGTAATCATATTAGCTGACTGAAATTCACCTCATGCCCAAGCTCAATCCATTCTCACAGAAAATATGTACCCCAATAAACTATCTAATTTCAAAAGTTCATTGGTGAATGAGAATGTATTTATACCTCATTTAGGCGTTCAGCATCCTTCATTTTTTCTAACATCAAGCGATCCGCCAATGTCTTATTTTCAGTTTCAGCATTCTTGGCTCTAGCAGTCATCTGCTCCAGTTGTGCTTTAAGTACTGTATTCTCACTTAGAACCAAGTCAAGAGCTTTACTTTTTTCTTCTAAATCCATTTTTGATTGAGAGCATTCATCCCTGCAAAATTTATTTAAGTTGCAATCAAAATTCAAAAGCACAATGTTGTGACTTACTTTAATAAACTTCACGAATATTAAAATTAAAACATAAAGGGAATATTAAGCAACCTCACTTCGGTCAACTCCTTTCGCAGATCAGCGATTGTAGTTTCTTTCTCTAGAATCAAAGCTTTTGAAGCTCTGGATTCAGCTATTTCCACAACAAGCTGTTCAGATATTCGGGACTGAGCTTTGTAGCATTGCTGAAGTTCCAATTCCAGACTCTCCGCTTTCTCTTTCCATTCAGAGCCCTTCAAGGACACAAACACAACTTTTAACTCAATACAAAACATTCCAATTGTTAGATAAACACCATGATCCAAGTAACAACAACAATACTAACGATGAGCAGCATCCACAAATATTAATACATTTGCCCATTTTCAAAAGATACAATGAACAACAGTAATTAGCAAGCAACAACTGAAGATTGGGAAATTTGACCACAAGCACCATTATATTGCAACCAAAGATTCAATGATATTTCTAAAAACAAATTGAAGATTGCAACAAGGGTCTTATTAGATTCAAAAGCTAGATACCCATTGTGATCAATTTGCTAACAATCCCTAAATCAAAACATGATAGAAATGGGACCTGGGAAGAGATAGGTCTAGAAAGAGCAGCAAAAGCCGGAGCATGAGCTCCTTCTTCGTTCAAATGCCGCTTACGCAGAGCCCTCAGAGCATGCTTGATAGCCTCATTTGAAATTTCTTGCTTTGACTTGCGAGGATTCGCCATGTACCAGAAAACGATCCAATCACCAAACCGCTAAAATCACCTGCTTGGTTGCCCGCAAAACAAAAATGAAATGGTGCCCAGAAATTTACAACAACGAAAGATTAATACTTTGAACAAGAAATTTACTTTAATCATATTTGAAATTTTGGAGTATATGTTGCTATTGTTCCTCCGACTTTGACTTCCACAGCAAAATTAGCAACAATAATAACAATAACAACAACAATAATAATAATTAAATAATGAGGGAGCGGATTGAGCGTGAGTCTTTAGGATCTGTAATCTGTATGCAATCTCTTTACTTCAATTACACGACAATAGCATTTCTGTATTCAGATCGATGAAATTTTATTGTTATAATTTTTGAACTGGTTAAAAACAATACAGCAAATACCTTTTGTTGGTCGTCCAAACAATGCCTTAAGCATTATTTTTTTAATTATTTTTTTTTCTTAATTTGATGTTACATTACATAAACTTAAAAAAGAAAAAGAAAAAAGAATTAGGCAGCATAATTCATCAAAGTAATTTTTTTTTTAAAATATATTGTTGAATTATGTTTTTTACTTTCTATTAGCTTATTTTGATTTTACAGAAGTTTATAATTAAAATGTTCTAAATAGAATTTTTAGTTAAAAGTTTTTGGCATAAATAAAATAATCAATCAAATATACACTAAATATATGAATTTAATAATTTTATATTCTTTTTGATTTATTGATCCTTCACTTAACCGTTGGGTATTGGCTCGCGGACTAAGCTTGCTTCAACATTTTCCAAATCTCACTAGTGACTCAGTGAATCACGTAGATGAGAGGTTTTTGGGTATTGAACTATATTTTTTCGGAAGAAGATAGTGTGATTAGTGTTCTCTCGGGAGAAAATAATGTAGTTTGTAAAAAAAAAATTTGTAAATATAACCTACCCAGTACTATAATATCTACGTTCATTCCAAAAAAGGAAAATTAGTGGAACTTAAAAAGAAATATAGATAAAAATCTGAATTCAAATGGAAAAAAAAATTCCTACTTAAAAAAAAAGTACCTAAAGAAAAAATTTTCTATTTAGCAAAAAAGAGTACTGGATTTGATACTCTTGTTGTATTGAAAAAAATCCCATGTAGAGAAGAGAACTACCATTTTATTATTTAAATGTAGGGTTTTGCGATAGTCTTGTTACAGGACCTCGTTCTCGTTCCTGCTGACAAATGCACATTTTTTTATTAAGTTATTTTTTTCAAATATATATATATATTGGTGGACCTCACAAATATTTTATTTGTGACATGACGGAACAAATATCCTGTTACATGATACTTCTATTACCCTTAAATGTATGAATGTAAAGTTTTATTTACTTTTTCTCGTGAGAGTTTTTTTCAAATTTAATGCGATAACTACCGAATGATGATTGAATTAAGTTAAAAAGTATGCTATAATTTTATTATATGTAGGAAAGGGATGGGATTTTCACATGTGTGAATGCTGTGATTTCTCAAGAGCAGACATGGTGAACTATCAACCTTTTATACCAATTTCATAGTGAAAAAGAAAAGAAAATAAAAGAAAGATTTGAAGCACGTTTGATTATAAAGTGTCTTATAGAAAGGCTTGGAAGCGAACAAAAGTCAATTATCAAGTGTTTGGAGATTGAGATGATTTTTTTTTTTTTTTGTTAACACAATTTCTCTTGGTGTACTTGGGATTAATCTTTTAAAGTGCCACCTAGGTGGCTAGAGGCGATGAAACATGTTGCAGAAGATTTTTGTTAACCAACTAAATATAAATGAACAAGCAAATCATTGCTATTTCTAATCTGAACCCAAATGGTGTTGGATGTCATATGTATCCATATATTTACTACATTTTTTGGAGGAATGATGACCAACAAACGCACACAAGTGACTTTCACAGAAATAAACTAGTCTCAGCGAAATAATGAAAATAAATACCAATACATAAGCTAAGAAAAGTAAAGGAAAAATAAATATAGATATTCAATTCATGTGAGTTTTCACAAATCATAGCAATGGCCACCTTTGACATGAGGTTCATCTTCTTTCTTAAGAGACTAAAACAATGTTAGAGTCATTCAATTGAAAATAATAATAACAAATTGAAACCCAACATATCCAAATCTACATCCACCACATGAACATTGCAATTAAAGTATGAAACAGCAAGAGCAACATAACATATGCATTCTGCAAACCATAAGTTAAACCCCAAGTGTATATAACTGTGTGTGTATCTTTGTACTTTTCCCTCCCAGGTAGCAAACTCAATACCAATATAATAGATGCTTCAAGAGCTTCAGGTAGCTCGAATTCTGTCAAGCCAATCAATGCTCTTCCGTGGCCTCTCGAACTGAACATCAACACTTCTCCTGGATTTATCTTGGAACTCAATGCTTCTGGATTTATCGTTGTACTCTACGCTTCTTCGTGACCTCTCCGTCTGCTCAAATTGGACTCTTAACTTCTCTAACTTTTCTGTACTGTTGATTTTATATTCATGAAATTTCAGTTTTTCTGTTCTATCAGTACTTTTCCTTGGTTTGTCCCTCTGATCAGTACTCTTCCTTGGCATTTCAAAGCAATCAGTACTTCCTCTGGATTGTTCAACTCTGTCTATGCTTCTCCTAAAACTTACTCTTTGTGATGGTGGCTTTTCTACTGTTGATATGAATTTTCTGAGATGTCGAAGGTATTCTGGATAAAGTTCCAAATTACAGTGATTTCCTCCTTTGAGCCATAAAGGCTCATATTTCTGTTGACATAGCTCCCACAAATGCTTGCCATGAGAGCAATCAACAACCTCATCAGCAGTTCCCTGAACAAAGTATGGCAATGTTACCCAATGAGTATAGCCATATGAAATGCTTTATACCCAAAAAAAACATGGCTGATTTCTCTTCAACTTTGATGCTGTAAAATCAGCCACGATGAACAGACTCCTACTTCTTGTATTAACTAGCTCATGCTATGAAAAAAGTTGTTTGTATTGAAGAGATTCTATATGTCGCTCTGAACACCAAGCTAGCACACTAAGCACAGGGTTAAGGACTACAACCATTACAGAAATTCTTAATTGGATACCAGTTACAGGCTTATAGCAACTACAGAAATCATGATGACAAAATAATAGTTAGGGGAAAATCCAATATAATAAACGTGGAATACTTACATGAATTACTAGCACTGGACACTTCACTGATGGAATTTTATCAATGTTCTGCAAAAAGAAAACACAGAACTAAGTTCAGGTACATAATAGCATGTATACAAAATTCTCAAATCAAATGAGATCAAACATGCAGGACAATGTAAAATCTAACCTTGTAAATGTCAAACCAGTATGTTCGTTTCACAGGGTACATGACTCTCAAGCCTGATAGTATAGGACTGTGAAGAACAACAGCCCTTAGTCGGGGCAAACGGGCAGCAAGTTCCACAGTAGGGCCACTTCCAACAGATTGACCATAAAGGATTATGTCTTCCTGCTTAGCACCATAGTTCTCTTCAAGATACTTATATGCAGCTTCAATGTCAGCATAAGTATTATGCTCACTTGGCTGTGAAAAATATCCAGATAAGTTTTTCATGATCCTTCTGCCAGCTGAGAACAAAAGGATTTAATAAACCACAAAAAAGTGTATAGAGCAGTTACCTTCCCTGATGACTGTCCATAGCCAGAGTAATCGTATCTGCATAAAATGAAACAAGATGCTTGAAAACATCATTAAATCTAACTAAACAAAATGTGTTCTTTTACAAACACCACACCAATCATATGATAAGCAAGAATAGTACTTCAAGTACAGTACCTTTTATCATTTTCTTTATGGGGGATCCTTTAGATTAATTCTAGAGTGGGGAGTCCTTTAGATTAATTATAGAGGGTGAGGATGCACTGGATGCCAATCTTAAAAGAAATTCTAAAACATGATTGCTAGTCATGCGACCTTCTTTTTGGTGCCTGAATAAAATATATTTAATGCAGTAAAAGTTTCATTTATAACATAAAAAGCAACTCTCCAAAGAGATATAAGATCGAAATTTTGGGGGCAAAAAGTGAACATTATATATTTGCAACTGAACTCTAAATGTATGGATGTACATCATTAGTATATCATGGCAAGTTGGCTTCTCCGACATGAATTTCCTTTGTTAGTATTCCTAAAAGAATCCACCAGAGTTTACAGTTTCATCTCTTATTGGGCATCTAAGATGTACTGTAAGCCCTAAACTGGATGTAAGCAATCAAACCATATGAAATTGAACTCAAGTGCTTGATGGGGCAATTTGTGAAGTTTAGAAAGCTAGCAATTCAACCATACCAAGCAATTTTAATACCACATATACAGCAGAAATATTTACAATGTTAGAGCTAAAACATAAGCTTTGGTCACACTGCAGATAAAAAACAATGAGTACTTGCTCCAAAACAAAAAACCTCCATTGAGCTCAACTGATGTCACATATAAATTTCTGGAACAAACCGGGCATCTTATTACCAACTTTATACTTCTTTTACTTTCTTCTATTTTACGTGCTTGGCTCATGTTCTCTAAAGATTCTGTAGAAGAAAAAAGAAATACCTATCTGAGAACCAAATAAAAGGAACTAAATTGTGCTAAGTTGAAATTGAAACCTCCTAAAAGGTAGATGGCCGTTACTTATCCCCCAAATCCTTGAAGTACATTGGTAGGATAGCTAGCTAAATTCCAACTTTTCCTTTTATAAACAAATTTCCAACTTCACAGTCACATTTAGCTGATATGTCGAGTATATTGAAAAATGAAAATGATGGAATACTACACCCCCACCTTCAAATCATTATCTTCTAAACGTGCAAGAACCACAGAAAATACATGGCTCAGGTGCTCAGCCTTCATATCATAAATTTAGTATACTAGTGATGATGCAGGTTCACACAAAGGAACCAAAACCAGAAATTATCACTAGCCCCAAAACCCTGTTGCCAGATAAGATTCAACACATGTCCAAACCGGCCCCATCTTTGACTAATCAAACCTAATGAAGCCAATGAATTATTTATCCCAATATACCCATCAACATCAGAGCCTGGTAAATCCAATCTAAACAGGACAATCGAGCTTCCTTTGCCAAGTGAACGGCTATAACTGAATCAACACTAGAGAATTCGCATCCAACACAAACTGCTACTAAATTCAACTAAATAACACATGAAAAATCCATTTCATTCATCCAATCATAAAAAGAAACGGAATTGATGCACAGAATGTCAGAATCCAAAAGGGTAAGCAATACCGGTTCACCAAAATTCAAAAAAAAAAAAAAAAATTTAAAAAAGGAAAAAGATGGAAATTTGAAATACCCCATTAGATTGACACGCAAGTTGATGCTCAACTCGATGAAGAGCTCATACATCTGACCAATATCAGCGGCATTCCCATGCGAGTAAAGTATGGTTGATTTGGCCATTGGATGCCGAACATACATGGCCACAATCTCAGTGCCTCGGCGATTCGGAAACTTGAGAACTTCAACGTTTTCACGGTGAGGGAACGTGTCTAACAGCAACAAACCTGTGGCTTCTTCCTTCACCAGCTTGTACGATGGTGGGTTCGGAGGGAAAAAGGCCAACTTGGCAGCCATGGAAGATGTAACCCCACCCATCTCTCACTTGATATCTTCTCAATGCCAAAGATCTTCTTCTTGTTCTTCTTCACTGAAAGAGACACACACACAAAAAAGGTCACTTCACTGTTCACATTACTTCTTCTTCTTCTTCTTGTGGGTGTAGTAAAGTGTTCACCTTTTCTTGCAATGTGAACTGAACCTGACAGAGAGGATTTTATTTTATTTTATTTAGTTTTGGTATTGTTTAGGGGGAAAAATAATATATATATATATATATATATATATATATATTTATTTTTTTTGAGTCCCTTATTATCGTTCCCACTTCCCATCTATTAATTAGTTGTCTCTTTCTCACTTCCACGTGTTGTTCTCTTGGCCTGAAGTTTTTCTTCCTCCCCTTGTGGTGTCTGTTTTTCTTGTTTGCAACATCATATTAAATACATTTTAATTTCTCATGATATGATACCAAACATTTTTGTTTTTAATTTAATAATTTTTTATTTTAAATAATAATAATAATAATAATAATAATATTTTTATTTTTATTTTGTTTGAGTGGAGACCAGAGGAGCAAGAAAATGAGTAGAGGAGGAAAGGGAAGAGGGGGTGGAGTAAAAAAAAAACATAAAAGAAGAGAGTATCATTTAGTTTAATGATTTCTTGGAGCAATAACAGGTTGTCCCATGTTAATGTCAAACTCAGGCCTGTTTCTCCTATTACCATCACCATGATTTCCCTCTTAAGGAAGGAGAATCCCTTTCGGCATGGTGTTTTTTTTTTGGGACAATGGGACCTCACATTGACATGGGGGCAGTGCAGCCAGGAATGTACTATGTAAAGCACAGTGGGAATCTTCCAATGTCATGTTACTTAACCATTAATTCATCATCATAGAGCTTTCTCACCTTTTTTTTTATTTTTTTTATTTAAGTTACCAAGAATTTTTGTTGGGGAATTTTTGAACAAAGAACATCGTTTTAAGGTATTCGAGGCCCATCAACGGCTCCAATTGTCTCATTCTCAGAATCCGAAGTCACAAGGTGAACTCTGGGGCCCATGTTGCTGGGAACAAAACATTTCCTGTTCTATTATGCCATATTTAGGCTGTCAACTCGTAGTGCTACGGAGGAAACAACCAAGCACGACATGCAGACAAAACCAATACAATTAAGTAAATTTACGTCTCTTATATCAACACCGAAAAAAAATAAAAATAAAAAATTAGTTGGAATCCCTTATATCTTTATGTACACGTTTTAAACTATTGAAAGATACATAATTCGGGCTTTTATGCTGCAATTTTAAGGAAGAAAAGATTCACAACTTTGCAAACATAAGCACTTTTTTTTTAACTTTTTACTGAAGATAATATATAATTAAGGCTGCGGTACAAGGGGAAATATTTTTAGTGCAACCGCTCACAGTGTGACATTGCACTAAAAACACTCTTGGTATAATTAATATTTTATTTTTTTTGAGATATTTCAATCAATTTATAATTTCGTGACTAGTTTATATTAAGATTTTAAATCCTTTAATCAGATAATCGATATATATATGGCAAAATGATTTCTGCAGCTGCTGTACTTACAGCAAGCAAGGATCCGCGTCCGGATCCTGAGTTTTTTTTTTTGTTTTTTTTAAAAAGTCGTGGGATCCACTTTTCTGTGTTAGCTGTAGATAACACTATCTACGGCTGTTGCAGAAATGTTAAGCTATATATATATATATATATATATATATATATATATATATATATATATATATATATGGCTTATCGTTTCTCTAGCAGCTTCAGATAACGTTATCTCCGGTCACTAAATCATAGTACAAAGATGAATCAATGGTGATAAAGGAAGAGAGAGAAAAAAGAAATCATAACCATTCAAAGGTGAATCAATTAATATAAGGAAATAAATGAAAAAAACGACGTAGTTTTGGGATTGGCAGAAATAAATTTGTCTCAAGCTGCCGGAGAAATATTTTTCCTATATAGGCAAAATGATTTCTGCAGCTGCTGTACCTACAGCAAGCAAGGATCCGCGTCCGGATCCTAGGATACGACAACAGATAATGAGTTTTTTTTTTAAAAAAGCCGTGGGGCCCACTTTTCTGTGCCAGCTGTAGATAACACTATCTACGGCTGCTGTAGAAATGTTAAGCCCATATATATATATATATATATATATATATATATATATATATATATATATATGAGTTTTATAAGAGTTATGTTGAAGGAAAAGTTATTGTGTAATGTTATAGAGATTCGTTTTGCGTGCCGTAGTTTTTTTTTGTTTTGTTTCAAAAAGTGTGGACCCCACAAAATATTGTGTGTGTAGGAAACTTTTTTGTGTCATGTGAAATGATAGATGCAAACCCCTATATATATATATATATATATATATATATATATATATATATATATATATATGAGGTAGGATTCTCTGACACTAGTGTCAAAATTGAAATTTGACACCTCATCTGATAGCCGTTAGATCAAAAAAGATCAATGGTGTCACATGCTTGCAAATCAGAGCGTTGATCTTTTTTTGATCTAACTGCTATCAGATGAGGTGTCAAATTTGAACTTTGACACCAGTGTCAAATAATTCTACCTATATATATATATATATATATATATATATATATATATATATATATGAAGCATGATCCTTTGACACCAGTGTCAAATTTAAAAATTGACACCTCATCTGAGAGCCATTAGATCAAAAAAGATAAATGACTCTGATTTGTAAGCATGTAACACCATTGATTTTTTTTTATCTAACGACTCTCAGACGAAGAGTTAAATTTTAAATGTAATACTGGTGTCAAAGGATCCTACCTATATATATATATATATATATATATATAGGGAAAACATTTTCTCCTTTTAAAGGAGAAAATTTTCTTCCTACCAAAGACTCATAGCATAAATGGGTCCCACTTTGAATTTTTTTCTCTCTCCACTATTTTGTAGGCCTCACTTATACTATGTGTCTTTGGTAGTAGAAAAATTTTCTCCTCTAAAAGGAGAAAATATTTTCCCATATATATATATATATATATATATATATAATTGCACGCAATGAATGCAGAGCTATAAGAATAACGAGGGGTAGTAGTTGTATTAATCGACATAAGCTGAGGAGTTGTGCTGTCAGTATAATGAATATATTTAATGCTGGACTTTTTGCTGTTGCCAATAAAATGGGGGCTTTGCGTGACATGCGGATTCATTGAGTTTATCACCAGAAGGCAAATGCTGAGAGAAAATATCAGTACCACGTCTCTTTTGGCATTAATCTATTACAATAAGATATAAATTGCTTCTTTGTTTAAAAATGCGAAATAATTGGATATATGTACCTTGAGCTGAAACTAATACATGAATATTCAATTTGAAAGAAATAAGTAAAATCACAACTAGGGGTGGATCAGGCCGGTTTACAAGGGCTTACGGCTCAGCCTATGTCAGATCAGATTTGACCTAGTATGTTTCGTAAAATAAGTCGAACTAGGATCTTGAAAAAGCTTGTTTAATAAAAAGGTCATAGACCCACTTTCACAATGTCTGGCCTATAAGTCTACAGGCCGGCCTATATTGTACTATTTATTTTAAATAAAATAAAATAGAATACGTATGCCTTGAAGAAAAAACCAAAAATATAAATTAATCAATTTAATTATTTAAAACTTAATTATATTCGATTATATTTTAATAGAAATCTGACTTTATTTTTTATGTCGGAGGAACCAACATCTCAGTATGTTAAATTGTGTATATGAATTAAAAGGTTTTTGAGAGAGGTTATACTTACTACAAACATCATGATGTGCTTGTTAGATTCATGTAGTTATTTTAATTTACATGGTATAAATTTGTTTTTTGGATATGATGAAATATATGTTATTTAGTTTGAGCATTTTGCTTTTAAGAGTGACTTAAATGCAGATTGTATAAGTTTTGTTGTGATTCATGATTCTGTTTGGACGTTGAGATTATGATTTTTGCATTAGCAACAGAATTTGAGTATTTTGTAAAGTTGATTCATGGTTCTGCTTGGAAGTTAAAAATTAACAAGCTAATGGGTTAGGCCACGCCATTTCTTTCTTTATAAACGGGTCAAGCCAGACTAACAGTTAAACTCGTACTGGAGTTGAGCCAGGCCAAATTGAAATTTTTTGGCGTAGACTTGACTTTTCAGAGCAAAGTTTGACCTAGCCCAGCTCACTTTCACTGTTAATCACAAGTATCTTTCTACGAATATATTTGTATGCACTTTACCTTGAACTGGGAAATCTTTTTAATACCTTCAATACATATTTATATAAAGGATACTATTTTATTCAAAGAATTAATGTTCCAAAAATTCAATTTGTGAGTACAGAATTATTTTTAGAGAGTGAATTATTAAGTTATACTTTTATTCATTTTATTATTTAAACAATATATTTATAAAATTATATATAATTAAATAAAGGAGACAAGGTATATTGCCATATAGTTTGATCTTTACTCTTATTTTTGTACTATTCAATGAAAATATGTGTTCGATTTTCTGTAATATCATCTTTGAAAAGAATTTAAAACTTTAATTCTAAATCTTCTCTGAACAGAATTTTCTCCAATAAAAATACTTGTAATTTATATAAAAAAAATGATATTTAAATTAATGATTTCCAAGCACACGGTATATAATTACTTTCTTTCATTTTCTTCGCTCTCTTGAAGTAATGGGATCTGATCTACTTAAAAGTCATTGATCCAACCGTATAAAAAATAATAATACAAATAACAAGATTAAACTGGTAGGCAATATAGCTTGGCCATAAAACTTTTTCTTTCAAACGAATTCGAAAATTAATGGCTTGTTTGTTTAATATTTTTTACTATTCCTGATTAATTATACCATTGCGAAAGAAATCTCCCAGTAACTGTAGTTAGTATACTAATAGTAACTTTTTCCAACTAATCAATGGCTTTTACAATGAAAAAAAAACGATTTTGAAGTAAGACCCAATAATTTTTCCATAAAAGTTTTAAAGCTCCAACACAAAACCAAATTTTGAGAAATGAGGGTCAACATTTTTTTCAAAAATATTCTTACACTTAAGTTTAAGGATGTAAATAAGCAAGGCTAGATTAGACTTTAGCTTAAATAGGTTAAGTCTGTGTAAAAAATATTAGTTCTAACATGACCTGTTAGCTTGTGTAGGTCCCAAATTA